CAGCATTGTGTCAATCCATCTTGTTAAGGGTCTTCCCCTTTTTGGCTGACCCTTTACTTTACCAAGAATGGTATCTTTTACCAGGGATTGGATGGACCATTCTGACAATATGATCAAAGTACAAAAGGTAAAGTCTGGCCATTCTCATGGCTAAGGAGCATTCTGGCTGTGCTTCCTCAAAACCAGATTTGTTCATTCTTACAACAAACAGTCCATGGTACAGGCAATACACATCACCAACACCACAACTTAAATGCATCAATTCTTTCATGGTCTTCTTTATTCATTGCCTCTCACATGCACATGAGGCCACTGAAAATACCACAGCTTGGGTCAAGTGAACCATACTCTTTAAAATTACATGTTTATTCTTTAACACTTTAAGGAGGTCTTTTGCAGATTTTCCCAATGCAATACATCATTTGATTTCTTGACAGCTACTTCCATGGGTACTGATTGTGGATGCAAGTAAAATGAAATCCTTGACAACTTCAATCTTTTCTTCATTTATCATGATGATCCTATTGGTTCAATTGTGAGGATTACTGTTTTATAGTGAGGTACAATCCATACTGAAGGCTGAAGTTTCTGATCTTCATCAGTAAGAGCTTCAAGTTTTCTCAGCTTTCAGTAAGCAAAGTTTTGTCATTTGCATATCACAAGTTGTTAATGAATCTTCCTCAAATCCTGACACCAAGTTGGTCTTCAGAGTCCATATTCTGATTATTTGCTCAGCATATAGATTGAGTAAGTATGCTAAAAGGATCCAACCCTGATGCACACCTTTCCTGATTTTAAGTTTTATTCTGTTTTAACAACTTTCTCTTGGTCTATGTATAGGTTACTCATGAGCACAACTGAGTGTTCTGGCATTCCAATTCTTGGTAATGCTATCCATAATTTTTTATGATCCACACAATCAAATGCCTTTTCATTGTCAATAAAACACAGGTAAAGATCATTCTGGTATTCCTTGCTTTCAGCCAAGAATGATCTGGCATCAGCAACGATAATCCTCATTCCAGGTCCTCTCCTGAATCCAGCTTGAATTTCTGGAAGTTCTCTTTCAATAATACGGCTGCAACCATTTTTGAACAAAATTTTACTTGCATCTGATTATTAATGATATTTTTTGATAATTTGTGCATTCTGCTGGAACACCTTTCTTTGGAATAGGCACAAGTATGGATCTCTTCCAGGAGGAATGCAGTTGCTAGCACTTACTCTAAAACTTACCTACAGCTTTCCTCATGTAAACAGTATACTGTAGTAGAGAGGACCTCACTTGGGGCCAGCAGTATCTGCTCACAGACAAGATTCCCATTACCATCAGAGGGAGAAGCAATTGAGAGAAAATATGCCTTCGTTCTCCAACCTCACCAATTACCTCTCCAATGTCACAAGTTACTATCCATATGTTTATTATTTATTGACCAGTGGTATAAAGAATTAGTTTAATCATAATCATTTGTTATGATACCCTCTCATCATTAATCCGTGCTTGGGCAATAAAATTGGTCAGGTATTTTAACACTGTAATTAGCACCCATGAAAAACCACCCTAAACAAAATTAAGTACTGTAACATACATTTAACCATACACTCCCTCCCACCCCACTCAATTTCCTTGGTTCTCCCCACCTTCAGTAACCATCCTGAGTTCTGCATTCATTGTGTGCTATGACTTTAAAATCATTTGCTGACTTCTCTTTACTAATACTAAAGGTGAATAAGAAAGTACAGGAACTCAACCAGTAAAATAGAAATGTAAATTACTTTTATTTATTTTGCAATTTCTAGAGAAGTATAGACAGACAATGGCCTTTTATTTATTTTCCAAACTGTTCGGCATAATGCTACTACCTCGGGATCCTTATCTAACAAACACTACCATCAAAAAGAAAATAATGAACTGAGAACCATGTAAAGATGTGAAAGTACATCTTCTAAGCATAAAAAATATATAGGCATTTGAAGTTTATGCTTTTAATATATCTCCTAACACACAAGATATTGAAAAAGCAATTTAGCAAAAGAAAGAAGGTTTGTGTTTTTATGTGTGTCTGTAGGAGGGCAGGGGTAACAAAATTTTACCAAAAGGGTGAAGACTAAATGAGTAGCATGGAATAAGAATAAGCTCTGGAATGATTCAGGCAAAGGCAAAGGACACTTCAAACCAACACCACCAAGAAAACCAGCGAGGAGCAATAACTTAATCGAGGAAATGAATGTCAATTCTGATGGCATCAAGTCAGTGACATAGAAGATTAAGTTATGTTTAGTATCCTGGACTTAAAATAGGGAAAGTTGTTAACATTATAAGAATAATGGGGTAGTCCTGAGTTAGCTGGAAAGGTGAGTTAGGGAGAAAGAGTTAATCCTGTTATACAGGATGATTAAGGAAAGTAATGAGAAAACCACCTATGCAACCTCATATGCAAAAAGTAAACTAATTTTATCAAGTAATAAAAGATTTTCCTTCTTATCAAGAACCTTGGCACACATTTAAAAAAAAGGAAAAAAACTAAAATCCAGGTTTGTTGGTGAATTTCATTGAATACCTTATTTAGTTCTTCTTTAGTGAGAGATGCCAAAAGGGTTTTTCTGAATCTTCCTTCTTTATACTTCTGAGTGATAAAGATTTTTCTCTTTTCTACCGGAGAGTCCATGTGTAATTCTTCATCCTTGTGAAGATTACCAGCCCAGAAGTCATTGGCTCTTTTGTTTCCAATGACAATAAAAAGCTGAATTATCAAAAATAAATAAATAATAATAATACAATTTATCAGCTCATAAAATGCATCTGAATTTGCAGAAAATGGACATACATTACAAATTAAAGCCTAACAATATAAAATATAGGTAAGCTCACAGAAGACCAACTCAAACGATGGAGTATGAAAGTAGACACTATTTTGACTCTGCGTACAGCCTAGCAGCTCATAATGGTAATAAATAAATAAATAAATAGTAAATTAAACAATTAATTAATTGGTTATAATAAATAATCTGGAATGGAAATCCAAATAATTCAAATTATGGCAAAAACATTTATTTTGTTTTGAAATTCACAATGACAGACTGATTCAAAATGGCTCAGAAGGAGGGCTAATACTGTCTAGAGTGGCAAGAAACACTAGCTGAAAATGGAGACATCAAGTTAGACACATCACAGTAAAAGCCACAGTGTAGCCAAGAAAGAAACTGATAAATTTTGCCAAACATCTTCACTGACTCCTCTTATATTTTACTCATGCTGGGTTAAATAGAAACAAAGAAAGAAAATTCTAACTTAAAAAAAAAACTGTCAAGCCCTTAAAAGCATCCATTATTATTAAAGTTCTTTGTACATTTTTCTTTGTAAAGTAACTGTTTCAATTCAGGAAGTGTCCTGAAAGACTTACAACTATCCTAAAGAAATCTATGCTTCCCTACTGCATAGTTCTTCCCAAATCAAATCTCTTCTAATCATCACCACAGTTAAATCAGACTTACCTCAATAAGCTCATTGCTCCAAATACTGGCATCCATTTTCAGACTTCTAACCTTGGAATCTTTTGGTCCTAAAGATCTATGTTGTCCTGAAGTTAAAAAAACAATTACATTTCCATTTTAATTTGTATGTATACTCACTGTACATTTAAAGACTATATGAGTATGTATGTATAAAAATATGCTTATGTGTGTATGTGTATATCCTTTTTAACTTAAAACACATCAATCTCTACTTTCCTAAATGATAACAGCACTAATCATAATTGATGATTGATAATCATAAAGAAATCATAACCAACCACAATGGCAGTAATATCAGAAATCTTCACCACAATCTGGTATTGGTATAAATTACACTTTTAAAAGCATATTTTTTTTCCTCCTTGTTTGATAATTTCCTAGAAATTGTAGGTTACTACAAACATTCTATACTGGCTCTGTTTAATTTAAATTTAAGTGGATAGTGCTATTATTCCTTTACTATTAAAATATATATATCTGCTACCCTAATACTTACCTGAAAATTTCATATGAATTTTTTACTATTATGTCTGCAAGAGAAAGTTAAGAGCCCACTGTTCTATTATCATCAATTCTATTCTGCTGCACAAATCAACATTCAGATCGCTGGGCACCTAGGCATAATGGACCACCATTTATCTGTCAGTTTGTTGAACTGGGGTGGCTTACGTGTTACTGTGAGGCTAGAGGTTATGCCACCGGTATTTCAAATACCAGCGGGTTCACCCATAGTGGGCAGGTTTTAGTAGAGTTTCCAAGATAAGACTGGGAAAAAGGATAGGATCATCCACTTCTGAAAAAATTGGCTACTGACAATCTTATGAATCATAACAGTGAAATACTGTCTAATATATTACTGGATATATTAAGGAGCTCTAGCGGCACAGTTCTGGTAGCATAGTGCCTAAGGCATTTGACTGCTAACCAGAAGGCTGGCGGTTCAAACCCACCAACCACTCCTTGGAAGGAAGATGGGGCAATCTACTTCCATAGTGATACTGCCTACTGCCTCGGAAACCCAAGGAGGGGTCACTATGAGTCAGG